TACATCACTGCCGTATCAAATACTGACGATGCTCTCATTTTATTATCGAAACATGAATAAATTTATCGTTTGAACAAATCCACAAGCGTGCTCATTTATGTATTCAAGATTGCTTCCCATCCAACATTCGAGAAGTTTATTGAATATTTATAATGAATTCAACTGATTTCAGCAAATGAAGGTTATTCGTGATGCTTATCAGAGTACTTATCACACACAGCTCGAAAAAGATGTCGTCGCTAAAGTCAGTCTCTTTCTTATTAATCCGATCCTTTCCAATCATTTCAAAAGAATTTCTTCATTTTTCTCAGCGATCTATTAGCGTAAATGATTCTGATCTCTGTTGCTTTTGCAGTATAATCAATTCGGAGATCATATTTACTTATATCACTCGAGTTCCAAGTTTCAATATCTTCGTTGTTATCAGTTTTTAAATTCGAGTTGTTTTTCGTTTTCTTTTATGACTCTTTGCTTAATCATACAATTCTAAGGTGGACGGTATATTTGGTAAAATGTTACAATTATTACTGTGCGAAGCAAGAGATGAACGCAGGCATAAAGTTGATATGAAATTGGTTGATGAACATGTCGACCTTATTTTGGCGGTTATCAGTTTTATTCATATTAAAAATTATGTTCTCTCAGGGACGTAATTGAGAAATTGAGTTCCTGAGAGTTAATATGTCTAATTTTGTGACAAGTTGTGAACTTCGTTGCTTTGCCTGATTTTCAGTAGATCTTGTTGACATTAGCAAAAATTTTGCATCTTTCGATCATGAATTTCATTTGTTTCGCACAACAGATTCATTCTCAAATATCAATTATCATCAAAGTGGACGCAGTGTCCATTCCTATTCATTCATCAATGAAAAACATCAACTGCACAAGTAATTTGCACGAGTGATCGAATAATTACGGGTTCATTCAAGACCTGTTGTTATGGTCTAAGCGATGACCCATAAAAATGGTCGCAAGCGAGAAATAAAATTGAAGGCTCCGAATGGAATCGAAGAATTGAGTCGTGACCTGTCGTTATTTCGACAAATCTTTATCGGGACCAGTTGGAAGCATATCGCAGCGATTGCAGATCGAATTGATATGAGACTTGGAGGTGGAAAGGATTTGGAAAGGACGATACGAATGAATAAAACGATGCATTTGGATATCAGACACATGCTAGAGGATATCCGTTCGTTTGCACATCAAACTTATTTTCATTCCATCTCTTCATTTTCGCATTTCAGTCACTTCTTAACAATTCATTTCATTCACTGTCAACAGATTCCATAAATCAGAAGATTCATTGAAAGTTAAATCAAAAATACATTTATGATCATACCAGCAAGTATAATGATAAACGGAGCAATGCTACTGATCCACTTCCATGGTGTCTCAGAATCAGTTTAAACCTGAAAGATTTCTCTCAAGTCTATGCTCCACATCGTGCAGAAGAGCAAACACGAAAATCTTCGTTTTTCGAAATGAGTCGAGTGTATATCGGCAACTTGTTCAGTTCGTTTCACTTAATATCAGCGCTCATTAATTGAATCAATCCACTTGAAATTTCAGTGAAATTTTCACGTAATACACAACTAGTTTTTGCTGAAAAACTTCACGATGCAGTGTCAGGTGGTCGACCAGACCATAACACCTTAACACGCGTGATTGTGAGTCGAAGCGAGGTGAGCTTAATCAATACGTTCGTTTTATCGTTCATCTGAATCTACCGAGTGAGGACGTGTTTTGAACACTCAAGCAAGTCCTGCTATTCAACCTGAGAGACGTCAACTAGAAGCGAGGCGTGCAGGAACGAACGAACATTTCAACGATGAGATTGACTGCAATTCACCTTACTGTGCAAAATTTCAGATTGATCTCGTGGATATTTGTGAGGAATACAAACGATGCTATAAACGACCTCTTGAAATGGACATCCAAA